TTTTTTTTTTTTTTTTTTTTTTTTTTTTTTTTTTTTTTTTTTTTGTTGTATCGACTGCTGCTGCTCCCCCTCCATCACGTCGACCGGTCAGCACGCTGGTGGAGCCCGTGTAACCGTGTGGCTTGCAAAGAGAAGTTGCCGGCAGCCAAGCTAATGCTGGTGCACGAGGTTGGAGGCCTAATAAGAGCTGTCGAGGTGCATCAGGCCCTGACCATGTAGGTACTTGATGCAAGGGAATGAGGAGGAGAGGGAGTGTTGTGGTGTTGCTTTTTTTTTTCCAGGCCTCTCTAGTGGCCCACGTGCATGGGGGTACCCAATTTCGCTCACCTGCCCGGCATAGGGCACTCTTGCAGCATGTATGCTACTGTACAGTTAATGAGTCGGGGCCTTTCTCGCCCAATTGGAAAGATAAGACAGCGGCATAGCGTGCCAGCACAGGAGTTGATTGAGAGCCATGGCAGGTACCAAGCAGCTGAGAGGAAAAGGAGTACCGCTGGAGAGCACTAACGCTCTCTACCTGGCAATAGGCGGCAGCAGGCCGTAGCACGCTGACCCTGGTGTTTGCTACTTACATGTACATTAATTGGTACTGCTACCTCCTATCATGATGCGGCTAGGTATTGCCTGGTGTCCCAGTATAATACGCCTTCTTATTGATCGGCTGCTCTCTGACTACTAGGTGGGTAGGCAGATAGATGACTATAAAAGACGCTGTGGGCCAGTATCAAGGCTGCTTGAATACTTGATCTTTTGCTAATTCCCCCAGTATCGCGTGATGGTAGAACCAGCATCTCTTTTGCCTTATTGATTTCGATTGGCTTTGATTCTCAGCCTTGGGTCAATGACCTGCACTACCCAGCCTGTTATAATACGTCAGTACTTGGTATGGTGATTGAGGTTGGTACTCTTGCCTGGATTTCTTCTGTCCATCAGCTCTGTTGTCACCTAAGCATCCAGCCATATTCGCAGTAACCTCTAATAATCACTCTGAGTCACTTCTGCCTTAATTCGGCCAGATTAAAGCAAACAATTGGAGATTTCGTTCTGGTTTTGATTCCCAAGGTACCTGTGCTACTTCGTGGCTTGCTATCTCGCTTTCATGAAATCTGCTAACATGATACGAAGAGCAAACGTGATGGCTTACACTTCTCGGCCCTCCTCTCAGATGGCTGCCATCTTCAGCTGTGACAAGTGCTCCGAGGCATACGCAAGCCCCGCAGACCTGGACCATCACCGCCAAATCCACGACTTCAACCACCATCCCAGTCGATTTGCTAGCCCAGTCGACGAATCCAGATCCAGGTCGATGACTGCTGGCCAAGCTCGCGTCGAGCCAGCTGTCGTAACTTCGGTCGTTACCACGCGCTGTTTCTTCTTTTGTTCCACATGTAATACTCGAGTTGGATCTCCTTCCTGTCTGATAAGGCACAACGAACAATATCATCAGTCAGCAAGCAGTGGAAGGGAGAACGGTATGCCTGAAGGCCATATGCCTCAGCCTTCCCGTGAGGTACCAAGTCCAGAGCCATCTTGGAACCCTGGTTCGGCTTTCGGACCGCCTACATCTTGGGAACAAGGAGTGCAGATGCAGAGCGCACCACCAGCCAATTATTCGCCTATCGGTCCTGACCACCCTTCCAACCCTCCCCCAAATATTGTTGCTACTGTGTTCAATCCGCAGTATGTGGCTCATATGCCGCCCATTCCAGCATCAAATGCAAGCCAAGCAAGTGATGTGAGCTGGATTGACTTTCTGGTTCCCATCGAGGGACGCGAGCCTTACAACCAAATTGTTGAGTATGAGGACCCCAACTTTCCTCCTTCAATTGACCAGTTCTGGCCGAGGCTTGTTGATATACATCTCAGTGGCTACCATTTTGCAGGCGAAGTGCTAGCAGCATCCCAGGAAAGCCTAAGGCTCTTTTTCGAAGCAGGTGGTGTTCCACGTGTGTATGAAGCAGTTGAAGCACAAGCGCCATTTCTCCCCGCCATGAACCTTTTAAATCAGCTTTGTGCCAACTACTTTGCCTATTGGCAATCAAAACAACCGGCCCTTCACTTTGCTTCATGGAATTTCATTGATTGCCCCATGGCGCTGGTCAGCTCAATGGCTTGCGTTGGCTCGATCATCACTCAAGACAGTGAAGTCCTACAGCAAGCGAGTTACATCAATGAACAATGTATCTCGGAAATCAACCGTTTGGTAAGTCAAAACATTCCTCGTGTGGCTTGACTTCCTCTTACAGGCACGACATGCTAACGCCTAGCAGACTGAAAGTTTACAATATACAGACATCGAATATATAGCTGCGCTATGCATTCACCAAACATATTTGATTGGATCTGGCCACGAACAAATTCATCAACATGCGGACAGAGTTCGCAGCTACATGATTCAGGGTCTACAAGCTCAGAACCTGCTCGGTCCCAATCTCTTTGATCCCGTCGACATATTGCCTCTGTCTTGCTTGACTGCTGATGCAGTAGACACGGAGTGGCGCGCATGGGTAAACCAAGAGCAAAAGCTCAGAGTGGCCTGGATGGTGTTTGAATACGACTGCAGTCTTTCACTCCTCACTGGGCGTCCTTGTGCTATAGCGCTGAGACATCTGCCCAAGGTTTTCCCCTGCGAGGATGCACTTTATAATGCTTCAAACGCGTATACTTGGTCTGAACTTGCTTCGAGAACCTCAAGCCTTCAGGGGCCAGAAGTTTCCAGCATCATAACCTTGACAATAAACAGACTCAACCTCCCTCATACAGCGTCTTCGTGGACCAAACGCCTTTGCGCGCATGTTTTCGAAAGGCTTCTGAGAGGTCTTTTGGATCCTGAACAGCAGATCGACACAATCGCCAGTGCCAGGGAAATCAACTTACATTTGATGTCTTCTCTCTCAGACATTCAGATGAAGCTACTTTGGAGTATCAGCTATTTGGGCAAGTCGGCCTCGATCTACAACCAGTCGCCCGCCACCCTTCATACCACAGGGGACGCTGATGATTATGGGTAAGTTTCTCTCTCGGCTTTTATCAGCCAAATTGTTCCGTCTCGTTCAGGTCCTCGCTAACCACACAATTGATAGCATGCTATCCACGTTCAAATTGACTCACCAATCCAATCACTTTAGCCTGTGCACTCGCATCATGTATGCGATAAGATTCATCACACTCGCAGCCATTTCGCCCCCGACGGATAGCCATCACGCAGAAGTACCTGCAATGCAACAAAGACTTCTTTTAGAATTCGCCAGCGTACCCTACCATGCTCGGCTCTACGTCTATAACGCGGGCCAGATGTTCAGAACTGCCAGAGAGAGTCTACTCGTCACGCCGGTCGACTACCTGCGCATTTTTACGGCCTATCTCGCCATTCTTGCATTCGTCAAATATGGCCCTTCTTCGAGATGTGACGTCCCCGGCGTCGACCCGTTTCATGCAGACGTGTTTCCATTCTTCCCCACTAGTAGCGACAGATGGCTCGAGTATGGCGGCCCGGCCACGGTCGGCGACTGTGGTGTGTTCTACCCCGGGTGCTCGACGGAGCTCATCATGCGGGATGCGAGCAGGGAACTCTGCAGCCCAGGTGGTTGGAAACTGAAGCGGAGGTATTATTGCGTTCTGGCTCGCTTTAACGCTCTTGAAGTGCGGCGCAGCTAATCAGCCATTGGGCTGGACTCCTGACAACACTCAGCGTGCGGGAACGAATCATCAAGGCCCTGCAGGCTCTTCTAAATTTAGAGCATGTGGTATGGCAAGATAGATTGTTAATACGGGAGATGCCATTCGTTCATTTTCACTTCTTGGGTATTCACTCTTTCTTTAGCTTCCTATTCTTGGACTTGGCACATTTGTTTGATGGAAATGGAGGGGATCTGTGCCCAAAATGGATCTCTACGGCGTGTCACACAGATACCATGCGTCAGTCTGAAAAAGCAAGCTAGTCATTTATTTTAGGTTCAATAGATTGCATATGCTGTTTTTGATTTATTCTAAGAATAACTGTATTGGCCTCACTAGGCGCCACCACGAACCCCATAGGCGATGCATTGACCTATACTGGGCTCCTTGATGAATTTCGAAACGATGCGGTGCTGTGGAGTACAGAACCAACAGTTGTGATCTCGATGGACGACCAAATCACCGATACCATTAGATGCACGTTTGATAATTGTTATACTTGTACAAGCGGCGAGTTGCCAGCAGAGAGTAAAAGCGCCCCTTTCAATCAAGGTTCCCGGCCACTATATATGAGTCTCTTCGACCTGAAGTCCCGTAGCAAGTCCTTGATATACAGCTAGCTTGGACTTGAAGCTCCTGTCGACTAGTTGCCCACCAATTTCTGACATGGACATGGTACTAGTGAATTATGAGCATCATTCATTCTTCAAGATTTGCTGATTGTGATCTTCTTGTCCAAAGAGGCGTGAGATGAATCATCGGCCAAGTACTTGAAGATTTTTTTTTTCTTTTTTTTTTGGATTCGCGTGTTAACGAATAAGGGATCGGGTTTCGCGATTCTCAATCCGTTTGCTATACGTAAATATAAAAGGCCGTAAAGACTCCGAGAATACTAGTATTTTCTTGCAATTGGTTGTTTGTACACAAGTTGAACTAATTTCTCACAATGTTCGAGCTTAAGAGTCTCGCGTTGAGCAATAACGCCAAATTCCGACATTGACTAGATACGAATCGTCTCTGGAATGTAGGCTAATACTCACAGCACTTGCTCAATGAACTATCTTCTTTTCGACCGCCATTGACGGAAAACGATAAAAAAATAGCCCCATGGGGGCATCAACAGTCCATCAGTAAGCACGATCGTGGACTCGATTCTTGCCCCTGTTCGCAGCACCCACCCGCCCTATATCCGGCCCTGTGGTCGGCCCTGCAGCTCGCCCCGCGGGGGAGTGGAGAGGCATTGAAGCGCTAAAATAGTTGAGCCGGACAGCCGTACTTGATGCCTGGCCACTGAAAGTTCAAGCTCCATGTCTGAATAAGAGGACGACCATCGTACAGCAGATTGGGTTGTGAGCATGGAGCTAAGATCGTAGCAGGACAGCATTGAACGGGAAAAAAACAACAAAGCAGCTTTTCAACAGCCAACTCCATCACTCGAGTATACATACATTTGCCTGTATGTGTCCATCTCCCCAGGCCCAACGTCTGACCGAAGCGGGGCCTTGATTGATTACCATCGACCGCATGGCAGTTCCCCGGAGCTGATTAAACGTCAACTCCACGCGGACCACCGAAACTAAGGAGAGAGGCCGAATGGTTTTGGGGCTAAACACACTCCACGGGCCGAATATCCCTGGTCTTCAATCGTGTCGTAGCCGCAAAGTTGAGGGCGGTGACGGATTCGCGAGGATGATTCTGCATTTATATCTGATGGTGTCTGCGTGAGAGGGCAGCTGAATTGTGTTTTGTCTCCTTCTGTGCCTTGTCCGAGTCCAGTCCAGTATAGAGAGAGCGCCAACACCATGAGACTCGCAGAATCATCCACGGCCACCGCGCTGGCTGCAGCTGCTGCCGTATCGGCGGCTTCATACGAAACATGCGTAAGATCCTCCCCTCACCATGCTGACAACACGATACTGACTGATCGCAGTGCACTCGCCTCGCCTCCGCGCTCGGCGACATCGTCACCACCACGCCCTTTGCCGCGACTGACTACTTCTCGATCCAGGAGTCGTCCCTTGTGCCGGCGTGTATCGTGCGACCGCGTTCCGCACAGGATGTTAGCAAGGCTGTGACGATCCTCACCTCGTCGCAATCGCGGGTGCCCGGATGCCAGTTCGCCGTCAAGGGCGGCGGCCACACACCGGCTGGAGGCGCCGCCAACATCCAGGGCGGCGTCACCATCGACATGAAGTATCTGAACACGACGGTGCTGAGCAAGGACAAGGCCTCAGTGGCCGTCGGGGCTGGCGCCGTCTGGAACGATGTTTTCGGCTACCTAGGCAATTTCAATCTTGCTGCTGCTGGCGGAAGAAACGGCGGCGTTGGTGTGGGCGGGCTGCTCCTGGGTGGTGGCATCTCGCATTTCTCGCCGCGTGTTGGATGGGCGTGTGATGGTGTTGTTGAGTTTGAGGTATCTACAGTCTTGTTTGTTTCGTCGCCCGTCTCCCGCTCTCTAACCTGCCAGCCAGGTCGTCCTCGCAAACGGCACCCTCGCGACAGTCTCCGCGACCAGCCACCCCGACCTGTATCGCGCCCTCAAGGGAGGGGGAAACAATTTTGGCGTCGTAACGCGCTATGAGCTGGCGACGTTTGCGCAGGGCAACATGTCGGTCAACACCATCTCGTACGACGTATCCCAGGTCGGCGCCGTATTCGACGCCTTCACCGACATCGCCGCCTCGCCAAACTTCGACCCCTACGTGTCCCTCCAGGCGGATCTGCTGTTCTCCTCGGCGGCCAAGGCGTGGTCGGTGACCGGCTCAGCCAGCTACACCAAGCCCGTGCTTCACCCGGCGGTGTTCAGCGGCCTCGAGGCCGTGCCAAGCATCTCCAACACCTCCGAGATCACGGCCGTGGCTGCGCTGGCTGCGGAGGCTCCCACTCCACCACTGTAAGTTGACTGGCGCAATTGCTATAACGAAAAGAACGACTGTGTCTAATGCGGGCTTTGGTGGGTAGGAACTGGTTCTTCGCCACGCTAACCTTTGGCACATCGAGCGAGGCCATGCTGGGCATTTTCAATGCTCTCAATGAATCCATTTACAACTTCAATCCTGCCGGCGGAATCACGTGGAGCTTTGCTTTTGAGCCTCTTCCATCTGTGATGCTTTCACATTCCGCTGCCACCGGTGGAAATGTTCTCGGGGTAGAGTCCAAGGATGGCAATGGCGTTAGTAAGTTGTTTCGTTCCGGAATCTTCTCGTGCAATGTGCTTGTACTTGCGCTATACTTGCCCATAGGTCTGACTGACATCAACAGTCCTTCTCATCTCTGCTCTCTGGCCGAACTCGACCTCCAACGACTCCATTTACCGAAAAGGCCGAGACGCCTTTACGGCTGTTAAGACGGTCGCTGAGCAGAAAGGAGTGCTGCGCAAGTTTGAGTATCTAAACTACGCAGGTCCGCATCAGACACCGCTGGCGTCTTATGGAGCTGACAACTTGAACTTCCTCCGCCAGATCAGCAAAAAGTATGACCCGACCGGAGTTTTCCAGAGCAAGGTGTCTGGTGGCTTCAAGTTGTGGTAAGAGTATAAATGCCCCGGGACGAATGGCACGACTGTTAGTTACCAACTGAGGCAGCCAACGGGACGGAATTTGCCATGCAAGACAGACTACATGTACTCAGTAAGTCGCAGGGTCGGTATGAGGGCCGTACACGTTTATTAATAGTACTGGAGAGATCCCATAATGAGCTAGAGTAACAGAGATCTGTTTACTGGAGATAGAAGCTGCAGTTGGAGCTTTATCCAAGGGCCTCTTTCGAGATACGCTTTCTGCCTTGTTATGCACCTGAAGATACATAGCTACACGTGATTATTTGGGAAATTGAGAGAGGATGGTTCGAACAGACCAATACGTAGCATAAAAAGCAATAGTCGCACTAGGCTGCATATGTGGTCCGTGTGGAAAGGCTTCCTGTTAACCTGACAATCGGACATTTATCTCGGTTTCCATTGTCCAATACACAGTTATATTCTTACGACTTATGCACCATTGAAAGAGAAAAAAGATAATGGTTGCAGTTTATACTTACTTGGCCAAAAAATTGGTCGGCCAAGCAATGCCTCTAGCCAAGACGCTTGGCTGATACACGCTTGAACCACCATGCAGTCATCTCAATAAGCACTCTTTACTTTACAATACACACAGACCGTTATTCACACCTATTCCTCCAGGAAAGACTCTTAATTATTTCTTCATAAACTGCAACCAGAGGCAATCCTACAATCAATTCTAAGAAACCTCATTAACATCATCTTTACAAAACCCATCTCTCCCCCTCCCAATCTTGTCCTCCACCACCACAACAGCAAACACTCCACAACAACCAAAAAGAAATAAAACATTCTTCCAAGAATGCGTTTCTCAATCCTCCTGGCCATCATTCCCCTGGCTATTGCCGTAAGTCACAAAACCTGTCCAAAGTTCAAATCTTGTTCAACCATATTTTTTCCCCCACTCACTCACCTTCTCCAGATCCCTTTGACAGCCCGCTACGAGGGCAATGAGCAAGAGGCTCTCAATGAGTGCAATGCCTGGAGGGCACACTGTTTTATGTCCAAATACACCGACCCCGAATTCACCGCATGCGTTAAGAAGTGGCAGGATTGTATGAACGGTGCGAGCTATGACACGCCTTACTGATGTAAATGGCCAAACGGGAATCATCCTCCCGAGTTCAATAATTAAAGGGCTTCAGTGATTAATAGCTAGGTAGTTGTAGGAATCTTTACAATTCTATTTCCTAACTTAAGTGATGATTTTGCTGTAATCTCTCATGGCATGCTGTATAAAAGACATTTGGCTGACGCTTCGACAACAAGATCCAGGCGTTCGTCTACGCCCGGTTAGCTCAATCGGTAGAGCGTGAGACTCTTAAGAGGGACACACGTTCTGATATCTCAAGGTTGCGGGTTCGACCCCCGCATTGGGCTTTTCCTATCCAAATTCAAAAGATTGAGACGGCGAACGCCAATTTTTTTTGCTCTTTTCCTGTGTCATGTCTTTTTTTTTTTCTTTCTCGGAATGTGGATTTCATGTCTGGGTCTCTGGTCGGCGCTACAGCCTCTTTGGTTCTTAGCAGCCAACCTGATTGGCCGCAGCCTGGACTAGCGCGATAACTCGGCGAGGCCTCAAAACAAATTACGCCACCACCATAGAAAAAAAAAAGAACTAAAAAAAGTTTTACTGCATGAATAAAAAGTGTGGCATTCGCCGCTTCAATCTTTTGAATTTGGATAGGAAAAGCCCAATGCGGGGGTCGAACCCGCAACCTTGAGATATCAGAACGTGTGTCCCTCTTAAGAGTCTCACGCTCTACCGATTGAGCTAACCGGGCCATTGGCGAATGCCCGATTTTGTTGTCTGGTCTTTGCAATATCTGTCTCTATACATGTATACCATCACGGACCTTGGCCGACGGGAAACGCTTCAAACTTGCATGCAGTGCATGGCCCATGGCTTATTCACAGCATCATGATATAATGAGGAGCAATGAAATGCTCGCTGACGTTTATTAGCGCAGAACTGAGCTTGTAGGTACGGCAACTGGAGCGGGTGCACGTAAGCTCGTCGGAGAAGCAGGACTTGGAAAGTCTCCGTGTCGCTACTGAGGTATCACCACGGCTGCTATCATGTAGCATCTATCTCGTCAAAGAAATATTTTTGTCAGCTAGAGTTGTTGCAATTTAAACTGAATTGTGATCAATGAAAGCTGTGTAGTCATAGAGAAATCGCCGGCTTCTACACAGCGAGGACGTCCAGTTCTAGGGCGTGCTACCAGTTCCCATGTGAGTTGGGGAGTTTCGAGCCACCTGACTTCACATTCTCGCCTGCTCAACGTCCCACCTTCTTCTATAATGTCCACTACAATGAGCCTGTCCATCTTTGATATCTTCGAAAGACCGGATAGTTTAGCTTCTCGGGTCATTTGAGAGCAGGGTGTCAGGTGCTCGATGCTGAACGTGTGTTTCCATGTGAGATAATCAGGGAGGTCCACGCGAAATCACAGATCGTTTACCATCATACATACCATCTTAATGCAAGTACAAATGAGTTTGAAATAGTAATAGTAGCCAGTAGCAGCCTGTGCTATAGCTGGAGTGCTGGATGGGGCACTAGCGTTATTGTGGGTGATGTGTAAAGTTGAGAAATGTGCTGATCGTGAGAATTGCCTCTTTTTCCTTTGTGGATCTTGACATTCAGCAACCATCTATACTGAGTATCCATCTCCATCGGAGAATTCCAGCATCAAGACACGGCCTGAGTCGCATCCTATACCAACCGTCGATCCTTTGATAGCAAAAGCTGTCGGTCGATAGTCCACGGGGAGCCAAAGTAACGGCTTGCCATCTCTTGTAATCCACGAACCGGCTTTATCTCTGCCATAGCCTGTGAAAGGTACAGAAATGTCCGATCCTGAATCATTGACGACTGCATCTGAATCCAAATCTAGAATCCCAAAGCTGGTTTGGAGGTTGGACGCATTCTCCTCATCAAAGGACAGTTGAGTAGCTATACCAACAGGCAGCGTCCGTATGCAAACACCTGTAGCTGTATCCCAGATCTTGACTGTCTTGTCATTTGACCAGGAAGCCACCTGCCTCTCATCCCTTAAGAAAGTCACTGACATTACAGGGGCATTATGACCTTCAAGTGTCTGGACGCATAAGCCTGTGGCTATATCCCAGACCTTGACTGTCTTATCATCAGATCCTGAAACAAGCTGTGTGCCATCTCTTTTAAAAGCCACTGATTGTACCCAGTCCCTATGGCCCTCAAGTGTCCGGATACATCTACCTGCAGTGATATCCCAGATCTTGACTGTTTTATCAGTGGATCCTGATGCCACCTGCTTCCCATCTCTTGAGAAAGCCACTGATCGCACCCGCTTATCATGGCCCTTGAGCGTCTGAATACATTCACCTTTAGTTATATCCCAGATCTTGACCAACTCGTCATCTGACCCTGAAGCTACGTGCTTCCCATCTCCTGAGAAAGTCACTGATGTTACCCAGTCGCTGTGGCCCTTGAGCGTCTGAACACATTCAGCCTTAGTTATATCCCAGATCTTGACTGTTTCATCAGCTGATCCTGATGCCACCTGCTTCCCATCTTTTGAGAAAGTCACTGACTTGACACAGTCACTGTGTGGCCTTTGGGCATCCGGATATCTATGTCTGCAGCTATATCCCAGATTCTGACTGTCCTGTCATAAGACCCTGAGGCCAGCTTGTTATTTGCCAGGGCGGCCAAAGATGTCACCGAGTCAGTATGGCCCTCAAGCGTCTGAATGCATACACCTGTAGCTGTATCCCAGATTCTGATTGTGTTGTCGTGTGATCCCGAGGCCAATCTGTTATCTGCTAAAGCAATTATAGACGTCACCCAGGTATTGCTGGCTTCAAGTGTCTGAATGCATGCACCTGTAGCTAAATCCCAAATTCCGATTGTTCTGTCGCCTGATGCTGAGGCCAGCTTGTTATTTGCCAAGGCGGTAACAGATGTTATCGACTGACTATGGCCCTCAAGGGTCTCAATGCATGTATAATCAGCTACATCCCAGATTTTAATTGTCCCATTACTGAATCCCGAGGCTAACCTGTTGCCTTTGAGAACAGTTACGGATGTTACCGGGCCATAATTGCTCTCAAGCGTCTGAATGGATTTGCTATCAGCCATGTCCCAGAATTTTATTGCGCCATCAAGCGATGCCGAGGCCAGCTTGTTGTCTGCCAGCAAGGTCATGGACATGACCGCGTCTTTGTGGCCTTTAAGCGTCTGAATGCATGCGCCAGTAGCTGCATTCCAGGTCTTCATTGCGCCATTACGCGATCCTGAAGCTAGCTTATCATTTTCAAAAAATAATAATGAATTTATGCCAGAATTATGACCAGGAAGCGTGTGGAGGCACGCGCCGGTAGCCATATCCCAGATCTTGATCGTGCCATCATCTGATCCCGTAGCCAGCGCGTTATCTCCTGAAAAGGCAATGCAATTAACTTCAGAGCTATGACCTTCAATAATTTGCAAACAGGGACTCCAAATATCGTCCATCATAAGCTTAGTGTGTATCCAAGAAGGAAAATTTTGACGAAATGTTTGCCGAACTACGCTCTGTACGGGGCTAAATACAAGCGTAGAATAAATTTGAAGCGGTGCATTCTCAATACACCTGATAGAATATAGGATAAATCGGTATCCGTCGTGTAGAAACCGAACCAACTCTGTTTGAGATAGCTGCGTCTAACATTGTAAGTTCATGGAAAACACAAGTGCTTATGATGATAGGCTAACCTTTAACAGATTTTCCAGTTTTGTTATTGAGATAACATTGTCCGATATCTTCTGCAGAAGGCTTAGAGCCTCGAGCCAATGAAGAAAATGCGTATGAAGAAACACAGAGACCGGTCCAGTGGCATCAAGGCAGTTTTGGTATGTAGAACTGCTATTATCAGATATACCGTTGCAGAGATGATCAATCCAATGGGCACAAGAGTACCGAATGGCAGCCAGAGGATCCGGATTCGGAATTTCAATCTCATCAATGTGCAACCCTGGATGTGGAAGGGCATAAATGTTCTTTTTCAGAATTAATGTCATAGCCCATAGCGAGTGAGAGAGGATCGTGTAATGAACTTCGGTATGGCCAGACGAGAATATTATGGGCTGAGTTGGCTTGTCCAGGATTAAATGGTCCTTTGCTGACTGATGGACAAAATAGACCGTGCAATCACGAACCGTCAGAAATGAGCCGCATTTTTTGACCAATCTTTCCATTGCTTCATCATTGATACGATTGCTGTCAAAGCCAGCTAATAACCTTAACTCTGCCAAGCTCAATGGCCGAGATGCTAGAGCCGCAACTGCAAGAATCCTTTTACAAAGGCTAGGAGTATCTCCCTTCAGCTTGTCAATATGATCCACCATGAGAGAGTAAAGACTCGTAAGGTCGCTTGGCATCTCCATAAGAATATTTAGAATATATAAAGGATCTTCGTACTCGGCATCTTGTCGATCTCGGAGATCTTTGACAACAAGGGCGACCCATAAAAAGGTGCCGTTGGCTTTTTGCTGCATTTGATGATGGATCTGATCTTTGATCGTTGGGTTGTTTTTTATTAGGTGGAGTCGTGATATCTCATGCTCGATATAAGCGTCAACAGCGCGTGATACTAGATCGGCGTTTACCTCAAGGCTGAGGCTGACTCTCTCAAGCCCTTCAGATTCAGCTAACTGGCGCTCAATTTCTGGCCAGTTTCGGCTCGAAAGAATCCACTTAACATGAGATGAAGCGGATAAATTCTCGACAACAAGGTCTAACAACTTGTCCCGGTCTGAAATACATTCATCAAGGGCGTCAATGAGTAGATAGGCGTGTGTCAGAGTCGGATCCCTCATCATGTCCGAAAATATTTCTGAAAGAGCAAACCATGAATTTCCTCCTATAAAAAGATCTTTACCAGATGCATCATATTTGTTGCGTATATGATGCATGAGCGTCGGCTGCTGGTCGACAAGCATAAACATCAGACCCCACAGAACAGCTTTAGCGTTGTTAATGCGCTGATCGGTGGCTTGACAGAAGAAGTAAGATATCAAGTCAGAAGAGGCTGACATCGTGCGCAACTCATTGGCAATCCCGCAGAGAAGCATGGTTTTACCCTTGCCCGGATCTCCTCTAATCCACAGCAGTCGTCTCTCTTCATCATCGCGCCACTGTTGGAACTCGTGATTATCCAAGATCCAGCGGTAAGATTGCTCCAGCAGACCACCCTTTGTGCTCTCAATGCGTTTCTTGTCGTAGCTCGGGTCGGTGATGCCCAAGTCTTTGAAACATTGTAAATCTTCCTTGACCGTTTTCTGTTTCACATAAGTGACAATCTGTTCAAGATTGGCATTCATTTTCTCTTTTTGATGCACGTCGGAGTCTTTGTAGAAAAGCGTTTCGGCTCTTTCGATCGCTTTGATATCGCCATCCCAATCGTCCAATTTAGCAATATCACGCAGGAAAACAAGCCCGCGATTCTTGTAGTAAGAACAAACGCTCTTCATCTGGTACAAGAGTAACGATTTATAGAGGCCGAGAAGCTGAGTCTCGAGCCCCCCTCTCATTTTGCAGAGATGGTTGTGGGCATCGGCGTTCTCTCTTAGGATGGCATCAGGTAGCTCCCAATACCACTCCATTCTCCGAATAACGTAGTCGATACCATCGCGATTGGCTTTGGTCGCACTCGTCGACTTATCAAAAATCTAAAACGTGTCCAGATTAGCCGATTAGACTCTCCTATTGTCTGAATAGGTATCTATACCTTACCTCTAATGCCACGCATACGCCAGTCCAGGCAAGTGCAGCTTGTGGGACAGTTTGGATCGCGGAACTAATGATTCTCTTGGCAGACAAAAGGGCTTGAACCCCTTTGTCGAGACTTTCTTTCATCTTCGTTTCTCGTTCTATCTTGGCCCATCCTGACGTAACAAGGGTTCTCATCTGGGCCCTTCTAGCACCTGGATCGTCTTGTGCAATTATATTCTCCTCGTCAACGTCGCTATCAGATGCCAAGTCTCGGTCGCGGAGATGACGAGACAGAATCCTTTCGTACGCTTGTACCAATGCGGCCTCACTCTCATTTTCCTTCAATTCGTCATAGGCTCGATCCCAGAGGTGTTCGGCCAAGCTTGCAGATTGATGCTGCGCAATGAGAGAGCTTGGCCGGGGACAAGGTTCCAGCTCGACTTGAGCGTTGCTAACCGCCAAAACAGGTGAGATTGGAGTCGGAGATGCATCTAAATTAGTCGAAGATGTCGTCGCCGGGAACACGTTGGAAACAGCGGGTGCGTCTGTCTGGTTGCCATCGCCCTGCTTCCTTTCCTCGAGCTGCTCGGAGGAACGATGACGCGGATGAAGCCTTTCTTTTAGACGGTCGAACCGTTCCCTTAGAGGCATGGCAATTGCTAGAAACGTAATAGAAGAAAAGCAGTGCAATGAATTGTCGTTTGGACGAAATGAGCAAAGCCAGTAGAGATAAGGCTCGTTCAATAATTAGCGTTGAATCAGCAGATGGATTATTTCTGCGGGGATGCTTTAGGCAACAGTTGGGCACAAGGCTGCATTCGCAAAAATGGTAGGAAAAGTTATTCAGCTCTTCGCCTGTATCACAGCACTCCGCTTGTAGGTTAATAAAGTAGGCAGTCGATATATAAGACCCATTACTATATTTATTATTATGTTTGTTTACACGTAGCTAAAAGTAGAGTCGTAATAGATAGGTGGTGGTGGTAGTAGCCATTTTATAGCTGGTGTATATATCTTCATCACCGTTTTCTTTCTTTCTAGGTACTTCTTCGCTTGTTCGTGTGTACGAGTGTACTTCACCATCAGTCACCCAATGTGAAGCTCCTATGCCGAGGCTGATTTGTTGACAAGCCGCGGAATTATTACTGCTGGTTCTGGGAGCGGCTGTGGCCGACAGGTCAGATCGACTCAGCATGTCCATTGCCAGCGATGATGCGTTGGAGCAACTAACATGAAATCAATACGTTGGTGGGCTCGCATAGGCCGAATCAATTCTCATCTATCAGACAGAACAAAACATTGATCCATGTTTGAGTCACCCGTTGCACTTTCATGATCACGAAGCGACGACTACGCGCAAAGTGTGCCAGCAAGTGAAACTATCACCATCGAGTCAGCTGTCGAGTCAAGCCGTCCATTGGCTCTGGCCACGACCAGTGCTGCCTCAGCTTCTTCGCAATTTAAGCCAAGATTCCCATCACCTGCCCCGCTACTCACTCGACCAAGACTCAGGCTACCCACGCTGCTTCTTCAAATGGCACAAACACCTCTACTTCAAAAGCAGCGACTTCGACGTCGACTTCAACTGCCAATGCTGGTCATGCCATAGGGGTTCGGTGGTGGCGGCTGCCGCAAGGATTGCAATCGGTGCAATTGCCATGCTGTAAAGCTCGGGAAGCCTGTGACGCGTTGGATATGTTGACGTCCTTCTAGAATTGTAATGTAATGTGATGGATTAGCCACGAACTCTTGTGGATTCATACCTGAGGATACCAGTGAAAACTCTTATCGCAATTCTTGTCTCTGGGTGTGCTGTGATGAAAAGTTTTGCGGTGCGATACCAGCGCTGATCAAGTGCTCAAATAGTAATCCGCTCAAAAAGAAAAACCTGGCATGCAATCTAATCTGCAATGCCAGCAGTACCAATTCCAATACAGTAGTCGTATCATCATCTTCTTCGCATCCAGGGCAAGCCCCAATGTGCAATGAAAAGGAAAAGAAGCCTGTCAGACGTCCATCAACACCCACCCTGCCCATGCGCCCGAAGGCAGACCACGAACAGGGTCGAGATCATCAAGAGAAAGACAACTCTCTATACAGTAGAAGCACAAGGCGACCACCGCCATCCTTGCGGACAGGGCGAGAGGACCAGAAAATTCACTCTTGGGTGTCGAGGATATACAATCATCAACCAGGGTGGATTCGATGGCTCTTTTGGGAACCAAAGCAAGAGACAAATACTATAGAAATGATTCTCCTAAAAAAGAAACGAACAGTTAGAACAAGGCTCGGAAGGATTGTGGCAGAGCACTAGGCATGTGCTGCAGGTAGGGGTGGCACATACTGAAGTATTGTCGACGTGAAGAAGAAAAGAAAAAGAAAATCGAAACAAACGAGCGGCGGGCGAAGATTTATAGCAGGTGGGTGGGCAGAACTTTTGGCGGGCGGTGAGCGACTGCCCCTCCACAAAAACAAGAAAAAGTTGCTTGATCGCCCTATAATTTGGACGGCAGAACGCGAACGCGAAACTGTACAGTAGCGGGTCCTCGTCAAGAAAACTCGCAGGCCTGGAAAAATGGAAAAAGGAAGAAGAAGAGAGCTGCTGCGGTGAGGCTGCTGCGGTGAGGCTGCCGCGATGCCTATAGAATCGCTGACATACAATATGATGCGACCTCCATTGGCTATTTCGCATGAATTTCCTTTCTTGTAAGCGAGCTCCAAGGCGGGTCAGCGCCGGCATGGCATCTTAGAAACATGCCTACAAGTATTTCCGACTGATAGGCTCATTGGGGAACTCGATTATCTTCCGCATCTCTCATTCCCTGCTCAAGCTCCCCATGGGATTCACCAAAAAGGCAAGTGTTTGGTTATAATTGAAATCATGCATACAAAAGACGCCTGTTCAAGGAAAAAAGAGGGGGCTGAAGAAACCGTCGACAAAGCATCTCCAGTACAGTAAGCCAGGTGGAAAAACTCCCGCAACCGCTATATCTCGCAGAATACAACATAAAACTGGCATTAATTGCGGCTCATATTCTGTTTGAGGCCATACCTGCCAAGTTCGATGGGAATGGGTATAGGAAAGCAACATTGGAGAGCCCTGGATTGTCGGTATGATCTGCAAAGCTTGCTGTTGACCATACCTGTATACATACTATTTCTTATACTTTACCCCAAGCATAATTCAGGAACAAGGTACTACTCTGTTTGGAATGCATATACACAATCGCTGTTGCCTGGTTTCAAGCCTGCTCTATATTTGTCCGTCTATTGCTGAATGCGATTTGGTCGATGCCACCTCATCATCTTACAGCCCAGCCCAGCATCTCCATATTACTTGGGAATCTAACCGAACAGAGATCGAACATAGTTCCACCATTGAGAGATGCAGTCTCACAGAGTATTCATTTGAGATAAACGACTGAAAGGCTAGGATACCGTCGGGTGTTTTCCCGCTTAGCTGGGAAACTTGGCAAGACGATTCAGTCAACTAGCTGTGCTTCCACTTATGCCCTCAGCTTCATTGCCATCAATTGACAGTACTAAGTTCTTAGTAAATGGAAGATTTTGTTCCACAAATGGCGCGTTCATGTATCTCTGAGACGCCACAATGTCATTACACTGAAGCCAGCGAATTCGATACTCAAATCTACCAATATTCTTTCTATTTCGGTCTATATTCTCCCGAACCTTCTGTATATGCTGTCTCGCATCTGCCGTGTGATTCCACACCTCTCCTGCAGCTTTATATTTCCAATCACTTGTTTGACTTCCAATGTCTCCTTCAGCCCAATCGGTCCGGCTGCCTCAACAAACCACAACGTACAGAAGATGCAGTGTCATACGGTTCTAGGCTACTAATCATCGAAATGCCATGGTGTAATGCCACCTATGAATAGTAATAAGCTACATTAAGGAGGTCAGAGTATAGTACAAGATTTGTACTAGAAACCACCCAGAACCACAAATCAAGCTTATTCCGGTAGGTGCCTATCATCAGCCCGCATCCCTGCAGCGGTTCAATTCGGCAGTTGGCTATTAGACTAGCTTGAGACGATAGTATGATCATCAGCACACAGCAAGTTTATCCTTCTTATGTAAAAGAATGTGATTGCTGGCCACTCAATGTTCTCTACTTCTCTTTCGCAGGAATGGAAAAGTACTCATACCAGATAGTCTACTAGTATCCAACCACTTGCACGTAATCATGACAAAAGGAGCGCATGTATCGTACTCTGTTTCATCCTTCCTATTTTGAATGCTAGTACAGCATCAGGGCGTAAGATGAACTATCTCATTCTGCACCTCAGATTACTATCCCGGAAACCCCGATCCGGTAAGAGCAATTCGGCATGTTTACCTTCTTTATACCTATTGCTTTCGGGGCCGGGGATCGGAATTATTCCCGCATTGCCAGAATGTAAGCATATACTAATAGTGTCAACAGTATGTGAATGCGCTAAACGCTATACGAGGATCTCCCTCCATGCTGCGGAAAGGCGGAGAGGCGGTTCGAAAGTCGGTAGGACAATCGCATGAGAGATGGAAACAAAGAGATGCATATAAAGACTGATCAACCGCCCATCCTCGAAACGTAAAAATCTCCTGTCGATCAACAGTTAGCTCTTCATTCAAATAACAAACAAAGAAACAATCCAATTCTCCTCCTTCTTCTTCTCCAAACCGCAAAAATGCAGTTCTCCGTCCTTTCTCTCATCTTCGCCAGCGTCGCCGCCGCTCAGAACGTGGTATGTTCCATCCCTAGTAGAAACAAGTTGAAGAAACAGGAGAGAGATGAACTGACAATCACAACCAACAATGCACCAGGCCACTCTCTACTCCGAGCCCAACTTCCAGGGCTCCACCTTCGACATCAGCGGTACTGACGATGCTCTTGGCGCCTGCAACACCGTCACCGGCTTGTAAGCTTCTCCGTTATCTTGTTCCCTTCTCCTTGTGATTCCATTCAAAAACTAACGCTCAACTCTCCAGCCCCATTGTCCAATCCATCAAGATCAAGGCCGGCCACGCCTGTGATTTCTACAAGTAAGTTCTAACAACATCCCCTCCACTCTACTTCGTTGATCAACAATACCAATCCCGTCTTCCTCAGCACTGCCGCCTGCGACATCCCCTACGCCGCCTACGACGCCGACACCGCCGAGACCAGAGTCTTCGGCGCCTTTTCCGCCTACTCGTGCGCCGTCGCCATCCCTGGCGGCCCATTCGGCGGCAACTAAGGAGATGCCGTCATCTTATCTCGTGTACATAAAAGAGAAGAAAGACATCTAGGAGGCTAAGAGCACCTCATCTCTGTATATAGATTAAATAACGAGAAATGACATGATGATTCTTTCGAATGCTGCCCTTGGTAGCACTCCTTGAGAATTGCTATGAACTGAAGATTTATAGGTAAATGTATAATGTATTGTACTCTATCCAAGTAATCCAATCTAGGGACAAGAGACAACCGAGCCACTCTAAGTACATAAGAAACAAATCCTCCAATCGCTCAAATCTCATATTAAGCCATACCCTGCAATAGTCCAAATCTTCCACTAAGATATCCCTCCAACAAAGAAATTCTCCAATCACTAAATCCTCCAATCAAAGAAACCATCGAAGACAGCGACTAAACCTCCCTGTCAAAAGGTAAATAAAGAGAGCCCAAAAAAAAGGGCCATGAAGAAAAGAAAGTGGACTTGTCCACGTAATAGGTAGTGTTCAATAATGAAAAGACGTCATCGCCAAGTAAAAGAAAGAGACTTTCAGACGGCTCCGCTAACAAGTGCGCCTCATGATGATAGCGCCATGTATTCATGTATATCGCCAGAAATACCCCATCAATGCTGCCCGCAAAAAAAGAATGAACCCAAAAAGGTGAACGGTTGCCTTCTCATTTAAAAGAGAAATGGTGTGCATTGCGGACAGGTACAATCTCGGCACCTAGAGTCCTGGACATACTGCCAAATTCTCCATGGGGAACGCTCTCTCATCGGCAGACTCCAGACGTGTTTTAAGATGAACAAAGTCTCGAGTGAGTTGCCAATGCTAGATTGGTTTGCTGTGGCAATTAGGCGCTGCTCGATGAACTTTTCTGTGCCTCTATCTTTGGTAAAGCATCCCAAGATAAGCATAGGCCAAGTGAGGGAGAGATTGAAGTGACTCTCCACCTCAATAGTGGGCAGCAAGCGTTCAGCCTGCCCAATTATCTGCTTCATTAAGACTTTGTGCAATCTTTGTCGCCGCTCGTCCGGATCGTTGTACTCATAATCCTCATCTTGGAGCTCGGTGTCTTCATGTATGGTAGCAACGTTTGGGTTATGGAGGAGAGGCTCATCCAAGAGAGACCACAGGTATAATGTGGCGGCAATCTTGAATAAAAGGGCAACATTTTGCCAATTGTAGGTGCGCTTTTTTCCGTCTTCGCACAGAGCAGAGGCCTGAAGCCTGTCTTCTATATCAGCAAAATCGAGAAACTCGCCGGATGCATCTTCAAATGTAGATGTACCAAGTTTCCGACGGTACATGATGGCTCCCAGCCTAAAAATATGTGGAATAGTGGCCAATATGTCGAGCCAGGATCTGCAAAGATTACCGGCGTAACCTTTGGCCGCCATCTCATCGACAAATGATAATTGCGGCGCACTGATGAATGGAGCCCCCGTAGCCGTGATGGGATTAGCAGCAACGCAAGCAAAGGATACAGTGTGCATGTAGTACTCTATCAGATATTCAGGCATGTTGATGAAGATTTCTTCTGGATTGAGCCTATGGAGACTGTTCAAGATGGCCTTGGCTGCTGTTGGATGGTCGTATGCCTGGGAGAGCGTGTCGAGTCGGGCCCTCTGTGTGATCAAGTTAGCACGACTGACATATAGGGAAGAGTGGGGAGCTGTAGAGGGAGACCAACTTCGACGAGCGCTACAACGATGCTTGCAACAAATAGGGAGGGCATTTCATGTTCGCCACCAGCCAGATAGCGATCAATCTTGGGACCAAATGGGGCAATAGCATCCCTCAAAAAGCGCTCCGCGCTCTCTCCCGTGGGCAAGAAGGCGGAAGACACCTCACGATGGTTAGCTCGCTGAGCAATGATGAGCTGCAGGGCCAATGGGTTGGCATAGCCCAACCGAACAAGCTTGGGGTTAACCGGGTTGATATCGGGAATATCGGCGACACCACAGTTGGCTGGGCGCTTCTCATAGTAAAAAAGAGTGTCACTTGCGGTATAGCTGCATGAAGCCATCAAGCTCAATGGTAGAGGTGTCACTTCGGACCCTTGCTCTAGGTGATTATGTGCCATGTAGGAGATGTAGTCATCGATGCGGATGCTCAGGGGAGGTTCCCCGGGACCCTGCCAGCTATTCTGGACCACGTAGAGGTTGGACATGCAAGGAAGCGATTTTATCTTGGATAGCTCGGGATCTTCTTCGTGAAGAACATCGGGATCATACTCGTGCTCATAGTCGTAGTAAGCCGCATAGTCATGATCTTTATCGACATCATCAGAGGAAATGGAGCCGGGTAACTTGACATAGCGGGGGGTGTACTCCAATTTACGCTGCTGAGACTTGAACAAGTGCCTCTTTATGCGTGTCACAAACTCAGATTCAAATGCAGATCCGGACGGAGCAGGCCCGGATGCAGTTGTGGATGCCACTGCCGATATCGATGCAGAAGAAGACTCAGACTCGGAACCTGCCGTAGACTCGGATGTAGACTCGGATGTAGACTCGGACTCGGTCATGGGAACAGATGCAGATGCAGATGCAGAACCAGCATTGGCCCCGAGCTCAGCCCCAAAACCCGATCCAGAGGCATACAAAGGTACGGGCTGGCGGGTGCATCGGTGGGTGGCAATTTTCTTTGGGATAGGAATCGACGGGTTCCTTTTCTGGAATATTGGGCTGAGATCCGGATTCCAGCTAATGACGCCATCATCAAAGCGGGACTTGGGCTTGATCTGGGCCATGGTTTCTTCTGCCTTGGGCTCGATTTTGATTTCGACCTTGTTCTTGTTCTTGCGTCTTTTGGTCGTGTTGGGTTTGGCTGCCGGTTGCTGAGCGTCCCCATCGCGGACGTAGTCCTCATAGCCAGTGACGCTGATGGGCTGGATGCACTCGTATCCGTTCTTATCACATGTGACGCAAGTGGGGAGTCCCCAGCTGCACTTGTAGTCATGACGGCGGCAAGTGAGGCAAGCGTCAGGGGTCCTGACGATGCGGGGCACCGTGAGGCCGCGTATCTGGCGGAAGAGAGGGTTGTTAGCGATGGGCCCTGAGAGTAGAGAGAGACTGGAGGTTGTCAGACGTACCTTTCTGAGCGGGGCGAGGTCGAAGAGGAGATTGAGCCTTGCATGTGTGTACTTGCGTTGTATGGTGGCCATCGTGGTGGCTGTAAGTGGTTGTCAGTAGTTGCCAGGGCCAAGGTCTGAGAGGGTGAGTTTGGTACTTTCAGAGATCTAACCACACAGACAAAAGTCAAATGCTGAATGAATGTAGATCCACTTCAGGCCCGCTGGAAACGATGAAGGAACAATGTAAGTAAGCCTGACGTCGACGCAGTGATGGTGTATTGATAGCTGGAAGAAGATTTGCGGCGGTTGTGTATTCCCTATAAATATAGATATAGCTATGCACTTACTTAGATGTCCATGCGTCAAAAAAGAGTATTGTGCTCAATGGCATCAATTGATAGCTGAAAGTCATCTGAAACCCAGCCGCGCTTGAGGCTGCTGCAAGGAGACGGTTTTGTTTGTCCAAGCGTCAAAGCCTGGTTGACTGAAGCCATTCACCGAATGGTTCAATGATGGAATAGCGCGCTAGCTGGTTCCCATTCAAAGAGCTAGTTTGATAGATACGGCCATGCTGCGTTAATCTGGCAGCCCAGCCAGCCACACTGGCGGCTAGCATGGCTCCCCTTGCGTCCCGCACGATCTCTTCGGTTTTCTTCTTACTACCCTGAGACATGGCAGAAGACCTAGGGCTTACCATTGCGAGTTGTACAGTAAAGTGAATGCGTCCATGCTATCTAGTAATATCGTAGGAGTCGAGAGCAAGCGAGACCTTGCGATTAAGCAGATGCTCGTCAACCTTGAGAGACTCTGAGAAGAGACGTCTGGTCAGTAACAATATCCTGAATGAATGCTTGCAGGCAGAGATACCTACACCAGTAACAGCGTCCTTGACAGGGGAGACCAGACCCTTGTTTTCAGCTCTGAAGGATCAAGCTGGATCTCTCTCATGTTCTTTCTTCCAACTTGCTTTCAATTCTATTTTCTCCTCTTCTGTTGTGATTTTCTGCCACCCGGCCTTGTGACGCCAAGCAGGCTCCATCCAAGGGAGTTGGGGCCTTTGATCCGGTTGGCCACGAGCTGGAGAGTGGCGGGTGGCATTGCGTTGCGTCGTCGGAAGCCGGCGAGGTATCCGACGGAGGAGAGAAGATGGACATCATGGGTGATGATGGAGGGGAGTAGAGTTAAGTGGGCATCAATTAGGCCCCAACCTAGAAATGCCTGCATTAGTGGGCTTTAGTGGGCTTCAGTGGGCTTCTAGCTCTGCCACTTACGCTATCGCTGCTCCTTCTGCTCTGCTCCTGGTGCGCTTAGCAAGTACCGGTACTTGAAGGGTTCCTGGATTGCTCTTTTGAGATGGCCTTGTTGCCTCAAAGCTCATTGGATACAGCGTCTGCACCAATCACTGTCGCTGCCGAGCTGCTAGGCGCATGGTCGCATATGCCACGTCCATGTACCGCTACCTTCACCCCAACGCTGTCGCCTTTTGCTTTCAGTCCCCCCTGCCGTGTACCTGTACCTGATGGATCAGATCCCCCGCATGAGCCAAACTCACACACACTTTACAAGGCGCGTAACCTGTATACGCCCCTGAACCCGCACGCCCCAAATCCTCCAATTCGAGCAATGGCAAACCAGCAGAATGAACGCACATTTAAGCGAGCTGAAAACGAAAAAGAAAAGAAAAGAAAAGAAAAGAGAGCAATAGGGGTAGACAGACAGACAGCTCACTGCATCCCCTCTGCTCCCTCTGAGGCTCTGTTCTCTGTCTCTCTGGATTTTGGGGAGTTTTGATACTATAGTATATGGTCGCCTAGAGTTCTTCCGACTGGACTCGTCTGTACCGAGTACCTGGGACTCAAGCACCGCCGGCCAACGGGAACGACGGCTCGGTCCATATTTAGCACAACTCTAATGGGATATTGACCAACACATTGAGTCTGATACATCACAGGGCCTAGTTTTAATCAATATTACTACCTCTGCCCAGGCCTCATGACTGCCAGTGCAACCACTAAGCCTGTGCTGCAGCCGTAACAGCAGCCAGAAAATCACCAGAAGCGGCATGGGCGCACAGCGACACGTCGCATCTCATCTCGATCATCATCTCGATCCTTTGTCGCTGTCCACTTTATTTCGCTCTGCCGCTGCGGAGTCAAAGGTGCGTGGATCCAACCGAGCTCTCCTCGCTCGTCTCAGAATCTCCTCAATAGGTAATGGCTGTATCGTGTAGATCAGGCTGATAGCCAAGTGCTACTACAGTTTCACTGACAGAGCACAAGGTACCCGCCGTCTTCTCGCCAACCTCGCCCCATCAATAAAACATCATGACGCGCACATCGGAACCGCGTTTTGCCGGGACCAGAAACTGCGCTGCTCACGAGATGTCGCTGGACAGATAGTTCCAGGACATGGGTGTCCGAAAATTCACGGCATTGGGTTTCATTGGTCGAATCCAGAGGTTCGGTGAGGCACCGCGGCCCAGACACCTCCCTCGCATAATGTAATGTGCCAATGCGGACGCCATCCAATGACGGGCTTGTCATACGGCGTTCTTCTAACTCGATTTTGGCCTTTCTTTTCTTTTTTTTCCCTCCAAATAGTCGCTCTCTCCATGTCTCAGCTCGGTGTCTTCTTCGGCCGAAATTGCAAAGTTGCATTCTGTGTTGCAATACGAAGCAGGCCAAACCAATTACAACATGCCTTGCATATGCTTCGCGCGCTAAATCCTCCATCAAATGCGAGCCTGGCGCGTGAGTGCCCAAATGCATCCCGTCCTCTTTCCATTAGACTGTCTCAAATGTGTAGCCACCAAGTTTTAGCCAGGTATTTCGCTCAGCTGCTCCACGTACTTGGTTCATAGCAGCCTTGATTCAGTCTGTCTGTGCGGTGCAATAGTCCTCTACGGTTGGAATTATTATGAGGCTGCGTATTCATTTCTCGCACTAATCCATATACCTTTCCCTTGCCAAAAAAAAACAGGCTGGATTCGGCCACAAGCAAACAGGCCCATCAGAGGCACCCCATCCAATGTGACTAGGCCATCAAGTCTGAAAATGGGTAAGCATTAAACGCTGATTACGAATTCATGCGAGTTCCCATTCGTTTGTTCGTACTTTGAATGAGACAATTGTGGTAATTGTGGCATGATATGATTGTGCTGGCTGGAGCAAGGGCTATAAGACGGGCTGTCATAACGCCGAAAGCCTTGTCCATACCTACTTAGCAGGTACTTGTATACGCCATAATGGAAAATGGTGCTAATCATTCTATTCAATGCATACTGTAGACAGATGCTGTACAGGATAGCAACCTGTAGGTAAAATAATTGCTGTAGTCTTGTAACCCATCCTCAATGTTGTCTTTCGCCGCGCCCATATCTCTCAGATACGCTAGATTCCATATGTGTACTTATAACTCCATTGGTAATAACTCCATTATTAGGCACTGTTGTTCATTTTTTGTATATATATTTTCCCCGAAGTACACATATGTGCCGACTAGATACGTTACTACAGAGCATATGTCTATAGTCGTTACTCTCCTTTGAGTCCACTAAGATGCCATCCAACAGCCGCTCAGCTCGCGCATCGCTCTCCCCATCAGCTCATCTATCCTTGTTTCAGAAACTGAACTATACCTCTGTCATTTTACACTGCCTTGTCCATGATATCATCCACTAGTACTTGTTCCAAGAGATTCATCCGACTCGAAAGGCCATTTTCCCGCTCGTACAACACGTCAGTCTCATACTTACAGCCCTAATTAATGTCTTGTCCTACCACAAGCATGATCGTCTCCTTTACTTGCCGGTTGCTGTCATAAACCTTGCACACCGGTCCAGTTGTGGCTTGTAGACCTGCATTAAGGGGCATATGCAAGCCGCCAGTTGCAATTTCTCTCGAGCGTGATAGCCCAGGCTCTGGCCCCCGTCGCCTCCGGCATCAAAGCCCGACGTGCATCTCGATGGGCCCAGAATCACACGAGCTGAAACGCCACCTAATTAAGCATCAAAATTGGCATATTGATATCCATTTTCAGACCGAGTGACAGATACAGTATCAGACTCGCAGGATGAATAGTCTACTGAGGGTGGCGTGTGGGACGGGAGCCATCCTAGTGGACAGCCTCGAGGGCCTGTCTGCAAGTGAGGCGAAATGTATCATGCGGAGAAAGCAAACAAGCAGAGAAGTGGAAACTACTGTCTGAGAGATTGGGCTCGCTTCATTGGACAGAGTACGATGCTGCTTGAGATGCATTCTATGTGTCTACCAGCGATGCCCCAGGCATTTTTGCTGTTTTTCAGTTCCCTTTTACTCACTCTGCTTCTCTGCTCAGTGCCAGTGATTCCGGATTGTTTGATCCGGTTGATAGATCTCTGATCCCTATTCTCTAATAAAGGTATCGCCAAGTGAGCCTCTTCTCGCTGCTCAAGGTGCACACTGTTTTTAGTCAGCACTTTTTTCAACAGTTTCGTAGGCCAGCTCGTAGGAAAGAAAAGGATTTGTAGCTATAAGGAATGCAATTAATAAATCGTTAAACCATTTTTCATGTCCCTATATTGCATGGCTGGCGAAAACGCGAACACGTTTCTTGGCGTGGGAGATAATAGAAGGAACCATTTTTGCATTCCAACCCCCATGCCAGAAGCAAAGGAAAAAAACACATCGCCAATTTCAATTTCAATAGCCATGCATATCGCCCAAAGAATACCATGGCGCTTTGTTTCCACTAAAATATCTCTTTTAGTACAAACATGAATTGACTTTGGTAGCGTGCCCTAGTACTTCCGAAGACGTCGTTTTCATATTTTGGTCTTCATGTATCGCGACGTACTGGCAAAGTTTACGCTTCTACAAATCAATTTGACACTACCCAGATGAAGTTTTCAAAGCAATCAAGTCAGCTTCAAGAACAGCTCTGTCTCTAATAGAATCGTAAACTCTATAGAAGCCAAGCCATTCCACTGGGAAATATACAAACCACACCCCATCCGCGCCAGCATTCAGGCACCAGTTCAGAAGGAATGAACTCCAAATACCAAGACCGTTACATAAAGGGAGATACCTGAACAGTACCTCAACAAACATAAA